ACTACTCAATGACAGCTGGGTCAAGGAAGAAATAAAGAAAGAAATTAAAGACTTTCTAGAATGCAATGAAAGTGAAGGCACAACATACCCAAATTTATGGGACACATTGAAAGCAGTGCTCAGAGGAAAATTTATAGCACTAAGTGCCTACAAGAAGAAATCTGTAACATCACATACAAACAACTTAATGGCCCAACTGAAAAACCTAGAAAAAAAAGAAGCAGATACACCCAAGAGGAGCAGACGGCTGGAAATAATCAAACTAAGGGCAGAAATCAATCAATTAGAAACAAATAAAATCATCCAAAGATTGTCTTGTTTTTCAAGATGGTTCCAGGAACCATCAAGAAGGAAGGCAAGCAGAGGGTAGTAGAGGGCCTTCCCTAAGCTAAGTCAGATTCTTTAACTAGTCCTCCCAGGGACACATTATATTTGCATTTATATTTTAACAATTACAATTTAGATGTATGGCCAAGGAGAAATACCTTCTTTTAAATCAAAATATTACCATCCCAATACAATTAGAGCCTTATTACAGAGAAAAACATGAAACCATCTATACCAGGTGCAATTCATAGTCTCTATTATCCATAAACAAAAGGCTCAGAAAGCATGAAGCTATAGAGAAGATAATAGATTCTGGAAAATGCTTTCTTTGTACCAGTGATAGGCATCCTCCAAGCAAAGAATTGATCAAGAGAGTTCCATACAGAAAGTATAAAATGCTCAAAGGCACAGAAAGTTCTGGCATTATATTATCTAATTCAGCCCATTTCTAATTCCTGGCTACTTCCTTTTCTGTTAATAATATATCTGAAAGTAATAGTTTAATTTCCAATTAGCCTAATAATTATTCATAATCATCAGATTAAAACATGTCAAGAATGATAGTCTTGATATACTTGCAAACGATTTTCTACTTGGACCAAAATAAGAACATTTTATCTGATGATAAAGTATTCCACATTTTAAAATAATTGAATTAGAATATTTTGGCATCTTAAAAGGGAATTGAAACAAAGAAAAAGAAAAGTAAAAAAACAATCGTTTCAGGGAGATATTTGTGTTTAAGCATTGAAATTAGGCAATCCTCAGAACTGACTAGGTTCATAGCCTAGGGTCCACACACCCATCCTGAGAGCAGTAAGTCAGGTTCTGGCCAAGTTACTCAGAACGTATGTCACCTCTTGTTTAGCAATTCCTAAAATGACTGTTACTTTGGATCTAAGAAAGCTAAGTTATTCCTTTCTTAACATGGTTTTGCAGCCATAAGAAGTCTTTAGGATTATGGAAGGTCTTTTATGATTGTCTCCTCTGGTTCCATCAGAGACATCAGAGTCCGTTAACAATTTTCCAGAGAAACTTAAACCTTTTGAGAAACCTGAAAGTTCTGTAATTTAAGGAGTGAATCCAGTTAGATTTGAGGTGCCCAAGGGCACAGGTTCTCATGCCCACTGCCCATCTTGTCCTCCTACATAAGTGAGGATCCTGTAATCTTAAACCTGTCTCCCTTCAGTCCTGCAACAGAGCGCTGAACCTATGACCCCTGCCTGGTGTGACTTAGGTCACCGTGTAGTCTCTTGGGTCAATGTCACTGACAAATCTAATTTTGTGACCACTTTCCCCTACTTATGGGTTTTTCTTCCTTCTAGTTAGCTAACATCTAGTGTAGCACCTTCTAAAGAGTGTGAATATAACAGCCGTCTGTACCCCTGCAGCATGTGAAGCCCTGAAGCTTCATGTACCCCTGAAGCATTAACTCTACCTCTCCATCCATTGGATTGCTTGCAAATGCTTAGGCAATCAAATTTGACTGTGAACAGTAAGCCTAACCCTATGGCTAACCCTAATCCTCCTTCTGATTCTCACGCTCCCCCAATGAAACGGGCTGTATTCGCTGTACTTTCACACAGGAGTGATTTCACACGTGCCCGGTATCTAACACATTTACTGATGCATTCATACACCAGAAACAAATGTTTCGAAGGCGTATTGAGGATTTTGTTATAAAGGTGTTCTTTGCTTTCTACAAAGATTCCACAGGATTTGTTGCTAGGCAGAAGAGTACCGTATTACTGCATGTGCCCACACATAGGTTTTTACAGAAGATTCTTTCTCAGTCAGATCCTCTCTGGTTTTTCTCATCAAAGTCACCCTGTTTTATGCTTTCAGAATACTGTGTGTCTATATTTGCAGTTTTTCTCATGATCATCCTCTTATCTGGCTCCTGAGGATTTAGATATTATCTTCCTCCCAGCTAGACTGTAAGTCTCCTGCAGGTGGGCCCACACATACTTAACTTTATCACTGAACTCTGCTCCTAGTATAGCACCTAACCCTTTGTAGGTCTTCAAAAAATTTATTTAAATGGTTAAAATTTTTGAAGTAGGTACTTCAGCAATCTCCATTTCACACTGTCCTTAAAAATACAAGTGTAAATAAATTCTTGGTCCATTTTTGTGGAGGCCCATCTACAGATAGAAATTTTGAAAATAACTACTAGAGTTTTACAAAAGCCTGTCAAAGAAGTTGTAATTACTAATGATAAGCCTCTTGAAATGTCAGTCCATTTCTTACTTCATCAAAAATGATAATTGAAGTAATTGAAATTTGGTAGCATGACAAGGCTTTGGTATTCCAAGATATACAAACGGGTATAGTGTGGCTATGCCATGTTTCTCTAACTTAAACATAAGAGAGAATACAAGCTACAAAGATGTGTGTCTGCCTACTTGGTCAAGGTTTATGGTTTCAATAAGCCTGATTTGAACCAACTATGAATGTTTTGCACAGTGCACTCAGAAAATGACTGCTTAGTATCCAAGTGGCCTTGGGCAAAACACACAATTTCAACTGTAAAATAGAGGTATCTTGTCAAGTGGTCATTTTGAAAGTAAATGAGATGTTTGTTTTTGCTTTATACAGGAAAGAGCTAGACAGAGCCATACCTTCACTGCACACACACACACACACACACACACACACACGCACACACACACCTGTGTTAGTGTTACTGGAAAAAGATAATGTAACAGCTTTAAAGAAATGTTAACTTACTATTGCAGTACTCTTCTGATTTCTTTTTTTTAATATTTATTATTAGTATTAATTACACTTTATTCATTTTGTACCCCCCCATTAGCCCCTTCCTCCCCTTTCTGCATGCATGCCCCTCCCCAAGTCCACTGATAGGGGAGGTCTTCCTCTCCACAAAACCTTAATGCAGTTTGTGTTCTAACATTCTGAACTAGAGATTTTTGATAAAATGTTTCCAGAAGCAGTTACTTCATGGCTGTGTATTTTATAATTTGAAAACACATCACTTATTGACATTGAGAATTACTTTTGCATTAAGGTTCTAGAACATCAATAGTTTAAGATCTATTTTTATTTTCCCTACTCTTCCCAGTTCCTATTCTCTGTCTTCTATAATCTTCTGGTTTATATACTTGAACTCTAAAGATATTTTTACTCATACTATATATTTTACCCTTAGCTTGTTTCAAATTCTGTAAACTCTGTCCCTTTGAAATGAAATACATCAGTAGCAGCTCAGTCTTGCTAGAGAATAGTGGCCTGGCTTCTTTCAGGGCTCTTGATCTTTTGGGCACAACATAAAATCGAGGTGCAAGAAGAGAGGGAAATCTCCAGATACCTGCAGGATTAATAAATTCAAAAAAGAAATGCCCAACATGCAAAATGTGCTGAGAACGAAGGAACACCCCAGAACAGACCAAAGGCAGATGAAGACCATCCTTTGGAAGATCCACCACAGCAGGCAGGAGAAAATCTTCAGGCTTCTGGAGAAAGTGTGCAGGAGGAAGCTGATGGAAGCCTTAGAGGAGAGCCTGCTTAGCCCAGCCTAGAACCTAAAGAGGATACTCCTGCGAGGCATATGAACCCTGAAGAAGTGATGAGTACATGAGCTGGAAAGGCTTTGGGGAGAGATGAGGAGAGTAAGAAACGAGTTTGTGGTGCTACATTGGAAGCAAAGACATTCCCGAAGCCAGCCTCACCTTCCAAGCCTTGAAATCTTTTTTTCTCTGATATTGAATCTGGGTACTGCTTTCTTTCTCTTAGCATTTTCTGATGTATCTTAGAACTTCATTTTACTTTTAATTACCTGGTGGCATTTTCTTTTAGGTAGTTTTGTTGTTACCAGAATCTCTTTGGATTTTGGATTTTTGACCCATTTTCCAATGCTTAGTTTTCAGTTGGAAAGTTTCACACTTATCCATGAAAATGATGTTCATTCCAGATTATACAATTAAACAACAAATTAAGATGCAGCATATTAAGGGTCAGCTCACATATTTAGGAAAATTCCTAAGTACGTGTGTACCTATATAATTACACATATCTCAAAATACTCAACAGTGCTCATATTTGTGTGATGTGTTTTGATTTTGCCTTTTGCTTATGCGCCTCACCAAGGACTGCAGATTTTTTAGTAAGTGGGAGTTAATTAAAATTAATTTGTAACCAGCTTGTAGAGGCAATAAAGGCACTAAACTCTTGATGAGGAGCTACTGAAAAGAAATGTGAACCTGGAATTATCTCTAGATTTCTTAGCCAGAGGAATAAACTGGCAGTCATTAAGAAAGAAAGAAAGAAAGAAAGAAAGAAAGAAAGAAAGAAAGAAAGAAGAAAGGAAGGAAGAGAGGGAGGGAGGAAGAAAGAGAGAGAGAGAGAAAAGAAAGGAAGGAAGGCAGGAGGGAAAGAAGAAAGAAAGAAAGAAAGAAAGAAAGAAAGAAAGAAAGAAAGAAAG